AGCCATTTATTCTCTCTTCCGGGTCCATGTTTCAGCCTTCAAACTGTTCATTCTAAATACAACCCCCCTCAAATCTACATCTCCTTCCAGCTTCTGGTACATCTTTCTCACCCTTTGCAGTCCCATTATTGGAGAATTGGACCCAGTTGCTCTCTCACTTCCTTATTTCTGTCACTCTTCTGGGCACTCCAGTTGGCTTTTGACCCCACCACCGCACTGAAATATTCTTCCCGAGATTATCAACAGTCATTGCTTAAGGCACTGAGTAACTTTGAGTCTTGTCTTAAAACTACAGTATTTGAAACTGCTGATGTCAGCCCTCTGAGCGAGATTTCCTCCACTTGTCTTTTCATGATTGAGGACCGTCCTGGTTCCCTCCCAGCCTCTCCTGCTCCCCCTTGGGGCCCCTTCGGCAGTTCTCATCTCTGCCTGACCCTTACGTGTGCGTGTTCCCAAGCGTCTAAGCTCCAGCTTTGTCTCTCCTCCTTAGTCAGCTCTTTCTGCATGATTTTTCAGTCTCCCATTACCACCTGAATTCTTATAACTCACTCCCCACATCTCCAACAAACCCCTTTGCCTATCCAACTTTTTCACTTCCTGTCCACCAAATTCTACAAGCTCACGTGCTCACAGTTAAATTCGACTGCTCCCTGTTCCAGAACCTGCCTCACTTCCTGAGTGCACACCTCACTGAAGGCCCCTGCCACCTGCTCAGTTATGCAAACCAGGAATGCGGGCCTCGCGGCAAGCTTTGATTCCTTCCTTTTCCTTACCACCCATGTGCACTCACTTACCAACACCTATCTCTCTCTGAAACACTGAGCATTCATCCCCTTCTTTCAACCACTGTGTGTGTGCGCGCCGCGCTTGTGCTTTTGAGGGTTTTTCCGTACAGTTGTGGCCCCACATTGGTCTCTTGCCTCCAGTTGTGTTCGTAGTTAATCTCTTCTCCTTACACTGCAGCCAGAGGGATCAGTTTAAAATATAAATATTCTCTTGCGAATTACCTGTTAAAAGCATTCCAGGATTAATTTCTTTTTTTACTTCCATGGATCCCCTAGTACACAAAGTCCTTGATTTGGCTTCTGAGTCCCTTTGTGATATGACCTTTCTTTTCCTCCCACGTGACATCTGTCTCACCTCGTTCTATGCCATTCCCTCTCCTCTGGGCTCCTGCAGCTCTGAACCCCTTTCACATACCCCAGACGTTCCAGGTCCGGGCTGACTCCACGTCTCTTCACATTCTTGTCCCTTTGCCTGCAGCTCTTTCTCCATCCTACCTGTGGTCTTCCTTCAGGTCTTAGTTTAGATGATGCTTCTGCCAGAGAACTTAACCGTACTCTGCCATAATAAGCTGTTTTTCTGTTTCCCCCACTAGACTTTGAGTTCTGTAAAAGTAGTGACTATTCCTAGCACCTGGCACATTTCCTGACACTTAGTAGGCACCCAATCCTTATTTGATGAGTAAGTGAACAAGTGAATGGACTTTTCATCTACTACCAGCATTTCAAAGCATAGCAATTTAATTAGTAAAATTGACAAGTTAAACTACAACTTCAAGATGTCTTATCAGCTGTGATTAACTTAAAGCTCTTAATGCCTAACTCAATCCCCAAGAAAACAGTACCTGATCTTCAAGTTTCTTTATTTTCAAATCAGTTTGTTTAACCTTCTTAAATCCATTCATCTCTATCCAGAATTGAGTCACACTGCCAATGTAATATTGTCTGCAAAACCCAATAAATCCCTCTGGAAATATTAGTCATCATAATTTTGGAACCTTACTAAAATTCTCTACTCAGATAATATGTCTAATGTCCTAAAATTTAGTTTCCTGAAATGACTACAATAGTACATTAATTTTTTAGAAATCAACTGTCCTAAGATTTTAGGACAATAATGCGTTCATTCAACCAACATTTGAGCGCCTATTACATACCTGGTACTATGCTAAGCATTAATAATATAGAAAGTCTGTTTAAGGTCAGGGATGAAACATCTTACAGATTTATAATGTAATAAAGCCATTGAGAATAGTGTTTTGCCTACACTGTTATAGGTACACAGAGAGAAATAAGACCAATTCTTCCAACAGAGAGCTTCACAGAGAGAAGGCTATTTAAGCTAAGTCCTGAAAATATAAGTCAGTGTTTATTAGAAAAAAAGGCAAGAAGGGCGCCTCGAGGAGCAGGAACAGCATATACAAAGGCCCTGGGGTAGGTACAGGGAATGGCACAAAAGTGAGCTGGAAAACAGTAAAGCGTGGAGGTAGTTGAGTGATAGGACATAAGGCTGGGCCTGGACGTGGGATACCTATCCCCAGACATTGTTTAGCCAAGGACAAATCCTGGAGTTTCTGTGGCACAAAAGAAAGTAACCGGTAACCCAAACCATCTTTTGAGATCTCCCCCCATCAAGAGAAACCCCTGAGGCGCTCAATTTCCCCAAGATTTGAGTCCTCTGATGCTGGCTAAGGCCCTGATAACTCCTTTAAGGAAGATTCACCATTGGAGAGAAAAGTAAATTCTTTCTGAATGTGTCATGTGCTCCTGGCAGGGGTTTGCTTTGGGGTCCTCCCTGCTCCTCATTGTTTGTGATGCTGATAATGAGCAAAGAGCTATTTTTCTAGACTCATGGCCTTTGCTCCAGTATGAACGACAAGTACATACAGTTCTCTGGATGTCTTCCACTCATTCACTTTTTTTGTTTGTTTTTTTGTTTTTGATGCTGTCAACATTGTTTTGATCCTAACTGCTCCTCTATTTAGAGACTTACTATTGACCTAAGAACCATGCAATTCTCAGACCTTTTGTTCTCAATATCACTTTATACTCTTATTTATGTGGGTTAATATCTATCTACATTTAACATATTAGAATTTAAAATTGAGGAAAACTTTAACTATTCATTAATTCTTAAAAGGAAACAATAAAAATGCACGTTAACATATGTCAATTTTAAAGTAAGAAATTTTTAAGTAAAAAGTAATTATGAAAAATAATTTTTATTTTTCATTAAATTTTAAAATAAAAAGTAACTATGAAAAATAGTTTTTTTCATTTTATTTTTAAGTTATTTTGCAAACAAATACTTTAGAGTGATAAGAGCATCATTACTTTATATGTTTTCATATCCCTAATTCTTGCTCAATAGAAGACATCTAGGGGGTCTCATGCCTGCTGCTGAATTCAACTTGTGATATTACCAGTCATGTAGCACTAGAGAACTCATGAGAGAATGGAAGTGAGAAAAGCAAATAATGTCTTAATATTATTATGAGAATAGTTTTAATGTTGCAGGCCTTCTAAGAAGGTCTTGGGGGCTCCTAGTGGTCCCTGGATCACAGCTAAGATCCTCTGACTTAGAAGTTTTAAAATATTGCGTTGTGAGACAGAGTTGGGGATTTATAAAAATTAGCAGATAGAGTATTAAAGCAAAAGCCAGTGTCTGGGATATTACTTCAGGCCTGTAAAGCAGGCGTAACCACCGCATTGATAGGGTGAGAAGTTAAGGAAAATGTGATTTATTTGTGCCACTTATTTATCATTAAAATCCATTTTGATCAGTTTTTACATGTTCAAAATCTGCTCCCCTCAGAGAAAAACAAACTCCAGTTTTATACTTTTCCCTTCATTTTAACCAGAAAATAGAATGCTAAATGAGCTAGGAAATGAACGCCCAATTAAGTAACTTAAGAAAAAAGGAAGACACCTGGGGTTTCATGGTTTCTAGCCCTGTGACCTTGAGCAAGTCATGTTTCTACTCTGTTCCTGGACCTCTAAAAGGGCCTATCTCCCTCAGACAGCCATGGGGATAGTTTGAGATATGGAATGTGAACGTTGGCTTCCAAACTCTAAAGCCTTCTACAAAAGTTGTTTATAACGGTGATATGATGATGATGATAAGACTCCTCATGGGACACACAAGCTGTCCCTTCCCTTTAAGTGAAGAGTTTGCCCTCTATTCCCACATTTGTGTGTCCCAAAGTCCTTTTCCAATAAAGTCCTTGCAAGCTGCCTATGGGAATGCCCCAGATGAGTGCGTAATCTATGTTCTGAGATTCCCAAGGCCAAACACAGTTATAGCAACACATCTGTTGTCAGGTTACCCCTACATGCAGACCCCCAAAGGAGGAGAGACACTGCCAAAAATAGCTTCAGGGAAACACATAAGCAAGCCTCAACTTCCTGTCCCCCCATCCACCAAGGAAATTCTATAACATGGTAAGCCAAGAAGAATGATTACAGCAAAGAGTGGATAAAGATAGGGATGGCCCAGGGGCACTGAAGCAGTAGCCCCTGATGTATCAGAAGTAAAGTCACAGCCTTCAGTGAGCATGGTTGGTGGGAAAGTATATTTGCCTTTGTTCAGGTTCGCAGCACACTTCTGAAATTGTAGGATGCTGTTTGGACCAAGATCGGGAGTGAATTATGCATCTGACGTAACCGTGACTTAAAAAAGGCCAAAAGAGCAGGAAATTTCAGTGGAAAGTCACTGCAAGAAAAAAGCAACTGGAAGTAACTTGGCTAAATTGGGCAGCATGAGTATAAGATTAAACATTGGCATGGTCAGAAATTCCCAGTCCCAAGTTAATAAAACTAGGGTCATGAGAATTCTCCTTAGTTTACCATCTGCGTTTACCAACCCACCCAGCTTCCACCCAGCAGTGAAAAAAACATTACTTGGAGAAGGGAAAATAATTCTTTAACAATAAACCACTTGAATTTCACCTCAAATAGGACCATTAATTCAAAATCTAGAGAAACATTTCCACTGGAATTTATTCTAGGATATTCCGATTCAAGTCAAGTCATTTTGAACAAATGATATTACCAAAACACAATTTCATCTCCCTTTCCTCATGTATATAAAGCTAAGTTTCTTGCATTCCACTCAAATAATGACTGACATGTTAATAACAAAGAATAAATAACTTCTTAAAAAATGAAATATTGGTGTAGTTTTACAATAAGTATCTTCATTTGTCTCTTTCTGTCCAGCTTTGAAAGCCTCACCTTCTAAAAAACGATGCAATTCCATCGCTGCCCTGAAGGCGACCTCACAGGAGGTCGTGTCCTCAGTGAGCCAGGAATGGAAGGACGAGAAGCGGGATTTGCTGACGGAAGGGCAAAGTTTTAGCAGCCTTGACGAAGAAGGTAAAGATGTGTAACTTAAAAGAAAGAAAGAAAGAGTTCTTGTGATTTTATTGTATTTATACAAGCAATGTAAACTCACAGTAGAAAAATTACAAGATATCAGCTCTAAGAAATAGGGTCCATTAAATAATTTTTAAAGGATATTTACAGTATGACACAGTTAATATAAAATGTTTAAAACATATAAACAATGTATGGTTTCTGGTATAAATAAATTAGAAGATCGTAAAATATTCAAAAACAAGATCGGTAATCCCACTACCTGAAGATACCAGATCTGAACATTTTGGTGTTTTTACTACTAGACCTTGTTCTGTGCATGTATTTATATATTTTTTTCAAACACATATATATTATATACTTATAAACACATATACATTATACATGCAATCACAATATAACAATGAATTATCAATTTATTTAGGCCCTCTTTAATGAATTTAATCAGTTTTATAATTTTCTCCTTGCATGCCATATATACCTATCTTTTGTTAGATTTATTTCTTAGATAAAGATAGCGGTAATAGACATAGATATGTATTTTGTCTTTTCCAATAGTGTCTTTTTAAGACTTGGGTTTCCTGGCTGGTTGCTGCTACTGTGCAGCCCCCACTTCCTTTTCCCTCTCTTACGTGCTGGCGACGGCTTCTGGCACAACGATGAATAGAAGTGGTGACTGTGGGCAGCCTTGCCTTGCCCTCATTTTAGAGGGAAGGCTTCTAATGTGTCCCTGTTGAGAAAGACATTTGCTCTATTTGATACCCATTATCAGGTCAAGGAGGTTCCTTTTTATTCCTCGCTTGCCAAAAAGTTCTTATCAGGAATGAGGGTTGAATTTTATCAAATACTTTTCTCTACCCAGTGAGTGGATCATTTGGTTTTTCTCTTGTAATCCTAGAAGAGGAAGTGACATTTTAGATTTTTTAATCAGTATATTCTTTTGGCAATCCCAACATTGCCTGCAAATTTCTTCTACTTCCTGTAGAAAATTATGACTCTTCTCAGGGTTTTCTCTTCCTGAGTCTTTAGAATAGGGTGTTATTCCTGTTTTCTTCTGCACCACTTATCCATATGGGCCGTGTAGATTTCCTTCTTTCTCGTCTTCCTATAAACCTACTCTTACCCAGATCTGCCCTTGCTCCCCTGTCTGCATTGATGGCTCCAGCCTGGCAGACATCCGCCCTCTTTCCCTAACCACCCCTGCGCTGCCCTCTCCCTCCCGCATGTCTGGTTTTCTTATCGCACCTATAAAACTCAAGGTGTCTGCAGTCCGGGAAATAGGAAAAACTTGTTTTTAAACTATTGAGCACACTGATATGCTCAATGTGACTTCTGAAATGAAAGCAGTATGTCCAGGTATTAAACTGGATAATAAATGCACTACATATTAGCATCCAGAAAGTCTAAAGATGTGGCGAGTAGTGCACACAGTGTGCTCTTTTTTTTTCCACATAAACTTTTGGACCCATTGCTTAAATGGAAAAGTAATTTACCTGAGAAGGTTTTTGAAAGTCGAAGAAAAACCTATTAAGTATACCCTTTGAAAATGTCAGCATACTATTTTTAAATAAGTTTATTCCAACAATTCTCTACCTCCACAAAGTTTGTTACAAAGTTTGGCCTTTTCATAGCGCACTGTATTTGGAGACTTCCTTTTTCATAGCACACCGAGTCATCACCAAATTCCCTTCTAGTTTTTAATCATTGGTTTTCTGTCATTCTCAGTATATCTTAGTTATGTTAGTTTTCTATCGCCATATAACAATTACCAGAAAGTTAGCAGCCTAACATAACCTCCATTTATTAGCTCACAGCTCTGTAAGTCAAAAGACTAATAAGGCTAACCTTGGTTCTTTGGGCACTGCGTATCAAGGTCTCAGTGGGGCCATGTTCTGGGAGATGCTGGAGAAGACTCCTCCTCCAGGCTCATCATGTTGTTGGCAAAATTCATTTCCCTGCAGTTCTAGGACTGAAGTCCCCGTGTTATTTGCTGTGGGACACCTGAGAGCCACACTCGGGCCCTAAAGACCATCCACATTCCTTACAAAGCTGCCCCTCCATCTTCATCCTTAGAATTTCTCCCAAGTCAGTCCACCTCATACTTTGAGCCTCTGACATCACCATCTCTGACCTGGAGACATAGAATTAAAGGGCTCATGTGAGCAGGCCAGACCCACCTGGATAATCTCCCCTTGGACCAACTCAAAATTAACTGATTAGTAACCTTAATTATATCTGCAGAGTTCCTTTTGCCATGTCGGATGCCATAATCACAGGAGTAGTAACAGCTCATCATATTCACAGTTTCCGCCCACACTCAAAGGCTGTAGGTCATTGGGGATCATCTTAGAATTCTGCCTACCACACTAGGTTAAAAAAAAACAAAACAAAAACAACTGAAGGCTACAGGAGCGTGAAAAAAACAGTTCTCTGCTTCAAAGATACTCCTACTAAGAGGCTGAGGGGTCAGCTACCCAGGGTTTGGATGATGTATGACCTGGGCCAAGTCCCTGGACAGATAGCGTTTTTCTGTATTCTGTCCCTCAGGGAACCTCTGGTTTACAGCGGCCAGCTGGCTGTGTCCCAGACCTGGGCCTGTGCTAGTTCTCAGTTCAGCTTCATCTGTCTTATGTTTGGTGGTAATTCATTGGGCTCTGATGTGTTGTTATCTTTCAGATCCAATTTTCAGTATTATTGAGAGTTTTCATATTTTTCTCTGTAGTTTAGGAGAAAGTGGGATCAGGTATGTTGAAGATTGCTAGCCAGCTATCTCATTAAATTGAAGCTTTTCTAATTTGTGTATGCTGCAGACTTCGGTTACTCATGTTTTTATAAGATTATCGCCTGTTATTCATAATGGCAGTTCTATATTTTGACCTAAAGCGTAAGCAGAGCTGCACCATCGCATACATTTTAGTGTGTGTCCAGTCTCCTCTCCCAGAACCCAGCCCTTCCGCTTCCTATTGCCCCCATGCCTCACCCCCACCTCCCCATCTCTCCATCTCTACCCCTTCAAATCCAAAGTCCCAAACCTTCCACCCACGTGATAGTGCCTGTTGGGATCAGTTTCCATTCACACACACTTCCTGAAATACATAATGTTGAGTCTGTTGTGCCTATAACAGAATACCAGAAACACCTTCCAGTTATATTGTATTTATTATTGTCTGTTTTAGTTTAGTTTGGGGGAATGATTGAAGAGATTGCACAGGAAAGCCTGGTGACACTAGTTAACAATACTGTATTGTATATTATTTGCAAGTTGCTAAGAGAGCAGATCTTAAAAGTTCCCATCACAAGAAAAAATGTTGTAACTATGAGTGGTGATGGGTGTTAACTGCTATTATTATATTAACCATTTTGTAGTAGGCATATATATCAAATCATTATGTTGTGCACCTAAAAGTAGTACAATGTTACATGTCAATTCTATCTCAATAAAAATTCAACAGCAGACTATCTACCTAGGTTTAAAAAAAGAAAAAGCACAAATCCAACTGTAGAACTTTAAGGATGGGATTCGTCCACCTACTATGTCCACAATGTTCTCTCTTTTTAGAGAAGCTCTGATCTGTGTGACTGGCCCTTTAATTAAAGGGCTATCTCTGACAGGCCAATAATGGGTGTAAATTTGCCTAAAATTTAGGATAAGCTGACTTAAAATGACCTAGATTCAACTCTCAAAAAAAAGAAGAAGAAGAATCCACATAGAATCTGAGAGTGGGCCTGGCCTGCCGCTCAGCCTTGAATATTCTGCTTTCCTGATGATGGAGGCCTTTTGGATGAGATTTTCATAGGCACCTCCATATTTAAAAAAAGAAATGAGTTTCCTCTTTTTTAAAAAGGCAGCCTTGCTGTTAAATTATGATGTCAGGAAGTGCTGTGGATAGTGTTCAAAGATATGTGTGGGCTCAGACGTGGCTAAGGTATAGCTGGCTGTCAGTCTGTGAAGCATGTTTCCTGGCTCGTAAAAAGACTAGCTCATAGGTCTGAACTGAGAATCACAGATATGTGCACATCCTGGGGAGAGGAAAGCAGGTTCACTGTCTGTTTATACATTTGCCAATCATCCTTTTAATCTCTGTTGAATTATCTCTTTAAGCTCCTCGGAGCTTTTTATGTCATCTCTTGAAACAGTAAATCACTTTATTAGGCTTTAAAAAGAACATTCATAACGTCATTTTCGTAAGCCATTTTGTAAATTAATGCAATTTCCTTTCTGTTTTACCTGTTACAAGAAACTATTTTATATTTATGTTCCAGTTCAGAGGAGCTCAGTTAATTCGTAACTTAATTTGCAGCCTAGAATGTAAAATGAATGCTTTTGGCTTGTTTAAATTATTACAGACATGAAAACAGTGGTTATTACTGAGATTCATGAGTGTGTGTGTTGCTTTTGTTACCCAGCGCTGGGATCCCGACACAGGCCAGACCTGGTGCCCAGCACGCCATCCCTGTTTGAAGCTGCTTCCTTGACAACCACAATTTCATCTTCTTCCTTATATGTCAATGAACATTATCCACACAACAGGACTACGCTTTATTCAAACAGGTAATATTTAGTGTGATCAAATTGCCAGCCTGGCTGTTACCATGTCAACATCACAACTAGACCAATATCTCTGAATGAGAACATGCTGTCCCTAACAACCAGGATGTGCCTGTCACCTGCTCTGTAAGAAAGAGAGAGAGAACATGCTTGATTTTTACTGTGGCAAAAAATGCATCTGAGGGAAAACTCTTCTGATTTTTCATTGTAGTTACTCATTATGTTTGGTTCTGTGGAAGAAGACAAACTTTTCATCATTTTTATTTCAATAATTTTTAAAGTTATTTTTTCAATTACAGTTAATGTGCAATATTACATTAGTTTCAGGTGTATAGCATAATGATTAGATATTTATATGCCTTATAAAGTGATCACCCAATAAGTAGTACCCATCTAACACCATATGTAGTTATTACAATATTATTAACTATATTCCCTACGCTGTACTTTACATCCCCATATCATTTTTATAACTGCTAATTTGTACTTCTTGATCCTTTCACCTTTTGTACCTATCCCCCTAACCTTCCTCCCATCTGTCAACCATCAGTTTGTTCTCTGTATTCAAGAGTTTGTTTCTGGTGTGTTTGTTCATTGATTTTGTTTTTTAGATTCCACGTATAAGTGAAATAGTATGGCGTATGTCTTTCTGTAACATTTCACTTAGCACAATACGCTCTAGGTCCATCCATGCTGTTACAAGTGACAAGATGTCATTTTTATAGCTGTGTAATATTCATATATATATATATATATATATTCATTTTATATATATATAAATATATATAAATAAAAATAGCATCTTCTTGATCCACTAGCCTATTGATGGGCTCTGACTCCTTCCATATCTTGCGTGTTGTAAGTAATGCTGCAATAAATGTAGGGGTGCATATGTCTTTTCAAATTAGTGTTTTGAATTTCTTCAGATAAATACCCAGCAGTGAAATTGTGGGTCAAGTGGTAGCTCTAGTTTTAGCTTTTTGAAGAACCTCCATACTGTGGTCCATAGAAGCTACATCAATTTAAAATCCCACTGATAGTACACAAAGGTTCTTATTTCTTCACAGTCTTGCCAAGCCTTCTTGTTGTTGTTGTTGTTGTTTTTTATTTATTGAGGATAGCCATTCTGACAGGGGCAAGGTGATGTCTCAGTTAGATTTTAATTTGCATTTCCTTGGTGATTAATGATGTTGAGAATCTTTTCATATGTCTGTTGGCCATCTCTAGGTCCTCTTTAGAGAAATATCTATCCAGGTCCTCTGCCCATTTTTAAATTCAATTGTTTTTCTGCTGTTAAGTTGTATGAGTTGCTTAATCTCTTTTTTGATATTTACTCCTTATAGGATGTATCAGTGGCAAATATCTTCGCCCATTCAGTAGGTTTTCTTTATGTTGATGATTTCTCTCACTGTGCAGAAACTTTTTAGTTTAATGTAGTCCCATTTGTTTACTTTTTCTTTGTTTTTATTAATTTCTTATGGATGGATTTTTAAAACAAGCACTCTTGGTTAATATTGCAGAGATAGCTACAAAGATACGTGAATATTCTCTTTTCATATAAGTGACATTTGTTTCCATGGTAGACAGAGTAACGGCCCCACAAAGTTGTTCACATCCTAATCCCCAGAATCTATGACTCTATTACCTTGTATAGCAAAAGGGTCTTTGCCAATGTGATTAACTTAAAGATCTAGAGATACGAAGAGTATCCTGAATTATCCAGATAGGCCAACTGTAGGCACAGGCTCCTTAAAAGAGGAAGATAGAAAGGTTGGAGTCAGAGAAGGAGACGTGATGCCAGAGCAGAGGTCAGAGAGAAAGTTTTAAAGATGCTACAACTGCTGGCTTTGAAAGTGGAGGAAGGGGCCATGAGCTAAGGAATGCAGGCAGAATCTAGAAGCCAAAGAAAGGCAAGAAAACTGATTCTGGCATAGATCCTCCACAAAGGAATATTAGGGCTTCTGAACTGCCAGAGCTGTAAGATAATACATTTTTATTCTTTTAAGCCTCTTGAGTTTATGACAATTTGTTACAGCAGCAACAGGGAACTATAGAGTGACTCTCAAAAATTTCATGTGAATTTGAGCATTGAGGTAGGTTACTGAAATTTCTTACATAGAAAGTCAATTTTTTATTAGACATTTTTTCCTTTTTAAACAAAATGTTTCCAAACATTGTTTCTAGGAATAAAAAATATCTCCACAAAGAGTTCACAACATTGTGGGATTAGCTGTTTCACTTTTTCTGTTTTAACATATGCAATTTGGTAATTATTTTTAATTTTAGGACAGGGACTCCTGTGTATACATTCTCAATAATTATCTGTTAAATGTTGAACAAGTTGTTTTTGAAACCTAGCTTTCAAGAATCAAGATGAAGTTTACGCAGGTAATGTGCTTCTTACACTGTAAATCATTTTCCGCCTTCAGATGAGCAGCTGGGTTCACTCAGTATGGTAGATTCATTTTCAATATATGAATATTTATAGATTCTAGCTTGGTCCTTTGGCAAATTAAGGCTTGGTGGTTGGAGGCCCTGTAGAAATTCTTTTTTGTCGCTGTTTCCCTCTCTCTCAGCTAGATCCGGGGTAGGTAATAGCAGGTGAGGCAGCCAGTCTAGGTCTGGAGAAGTGGAAGAGGTTGCTGGGTGAGCCACAAATCTCAGCTGCGCTTCAGTTTGGAAAGCTCTGCTGTAAGGCCAACAGATAAGCCTCCCATCATAACTTATTCTGCTCTACTCTGAAGGTAATTTGGTTGGCTTCCTTGCATTAGAAAAACTTAAGGTGACTTTATACCTAATATTAGTGTGTACCTTGACTGTTCAAATTTATAGGTAAATTAGTCAAACAACAGAGTTTTTCTAATATCTGTACAGTCCAACTGAACACCATTCTTTTGCTTTCAAATGTAAGATAGGCTCTCCAAAGATAGTTGAAAAGTTCTTTGCAAGTTCTTTGCAAAGGAAGTTCTTTGCAAAGTCAAAATCAATTCTCATATGAAGCCACGGTGATGATTTACCATTGCTTTGCTTCTGTTCTCATTATCAGGGTCATGTAATTGAATATGCTATTAAATTATCTACTAGAACTTTCAGCCCAAAAATTAAAGGGTTTTGTCTGATTGTTTGTTTTGGTGGCAGTGGTTGCCGTTAGGGGTCAAGTCTCTGCCAGAGGTATTCTGCTCATGGGAATTCATAAGGTTCCCCAGGGTTTGGCACTGCCTCCTCCTGACTCCCCACCCCTCCCCGCCTGCCAGGGAGCCCCCTGTGCATGCCCTGCTTCTGCATGTTCCTGGGCCGTGGGACTAGTCTGGGTGCTTGTATTTATGCTACACTGGTTATCGTTTACTTGAACGTGAAAAATATCAACGGTATCTATGGTTTTCTCCTTCCTTTTTTGAAATTAATTGTTTGAAATAAGTCTCCTTTGGCATTGAATCCCCAAGTTGCAACTTCACAGCTATCAGTCCAGGTTGGGTTCAGTTGCAAGAACAAGAAACAATTCTGGCTTCATCACAGAGGGATTTGACAGAGGGAATTAGGTACCTACGCAGGCTGCAGGAAGGCTGAGGGCGTGTGCTCGGGCTGGGCTTCTGGAAATCACTCCTGAACACACCACCCAGCTGGCCCACCAGCAGCCCTGCAGCCTCCGCCTCAATGAAGTGGGTGCCCTGCTGACACAATGCGAGTCCAAGAAAGGCGCTTTGGTGAACCCAGAATGCTGTTCAATACAACCTAACATTTTAAAATTAATCAGTTTCATGAAAATACCCAGATTCTTTTTGAAAAACCACCAGCTTTGGCACCACTCGGCTCCACTGCATCCTGGTGGTTCTCAGCTCGAGGGGAGAAGCGTGTGCCACCACCCTACCCTCCCTGGCCCAGGTCCCCACGCTCTGCTTCATTCATCTCTGCTCTTGCTGCCTGTGGGCATATCGGCTTTTAAGCCTTGATTTAGACAGGCCTCAGATCATAACTGCCGCCATAGGGAAATCATGTGGAAAAGGTGCAAAACAGACATAAATGTGCTGTAGAACCCTCCGGAGAAATGATGGCTGTGCCAACTTCTGTGAATCAATTTCATTTTCCCCACCCACCACCCCCAACCCTCGCTGCTGGGAAACCTTATCAGCAACCTGAATTGTCCACTGGTACGTGGGTGAGGGCGTGGATGAAGGAGAGTTTTCTTGAGGCCCATGAGGACAGGGCTGCCCTCGAGAAGGATTATGAGGAAGTTGGTGTGGATTCTGTTGAATGAGAGTGTGAGGAAGGAGAGGAATGCTAAAGTTAAAATGTCACAACAGTGCTGCTTTTACAGGGAAGCTTATTCTCTTTTAAACAGTGAAAAGTTGTGGTCTGATCAGTGAATTTGTATGTAGCCGTACACTCATGTACAGTTACTGGCCGATGCTTTAAAACATGACACTTTGTTACAGACCCAACCAGTCCATTTCTCTGATGGGTTTGAATAAAGTATTCCCTGTCTTAAAGGAAAAATAAAAGAAATTATATTTTGTTTTTATCATATTTTCTTTGACAGCCCCCCTAGATCTACCTAGTGGTGTGTCTTAAGGCAATAAATACACAGTATTCTGAACCTCATCTGGCCTACTAAGTTTTAAAACCTAATTCCAACAGTCTGGAAAGACAATTAGTTGAATATTGATATTATAATTCATGTCTGGGTTTTTCTCTTTCTCTATGATCTTATTTTCTCTTAAGGATAAGTGGCCTCTTTTCCTTTTTAACATTATGCTATATATATATATGCATTTAAATAAGCTGGAAATACTTCAACTAACAATTGTCATTCTGTCAGTCGTTTTAGAATCCTTAACTTTGAAAGATGTTGATTAGTGCCTGGATGTCTCCACACCAAAATTATATACTGCAGTGGGAAACTGCTGTCACTTAGAATTATTCCTTTTTTCAAAGGATTAGTCTTTGTTACCTCAAAAACTCTGATAGCAACCCATTCTTTTTTTTTTAAGCATACTCCAAAAATT